TCGCGGCTACTATACCCACCCACGTAACTTTATTCTCTCCCGGAACCTTTATCTCGCATAGCAACACTCGTTGTTTTTTTTTTTTGTTTTTTTTTTTTCGACCGCGTGAAAACTAGCAATTTCCTGCCACTGTGGAGTTGAAATCGCACGTCTCCTCCGAGTTTTCAGCGTCCGGCGTGTGTTTTGCTCATCGTGCTCCGCTTTCGTCGTGATTTTGCATGGTCAAGCAGAAATAAACCCGTAAACCCAAGTGCCGGTAAAAAAAAAGTCCGGCCCCGTGGGGCAACCTCGGCAGAGCGAAGGACGGGCATCGCGTGAGAAATCCGAGGCGAGGACCCCACGGGGCTCCAACGGAGGGGCAAATCCTCGCCGAGGTATGGGTAATGAGCGCGAATTAGCCCGGCGATTTTGTTGTCCGTCGGTGTTGTTCCTCTCGGGGGAGAGCGGCCTGTCCGTCACCGGCTCGCGCGCGCATCGACAGAGGGACGCCCGAAGAGGAGGGAACGAGCGCCTTCCACGAGGTCATCGATTGCGATGGGCTCTCGCACGCGAGAGCGCATCGGGGGAGTAATTCGAGGGCTCCCCGACAGACGCACGGCGTACATGTACATTATATCGTGGAATAAACATTAATTTAAGTATTGTATATGTATATATATATAACGTCATGGAAAGTAGTGCGCGTGGCGTAATTGGGACGCGCGAATGCTTAAAGTATATATACACGTGAAGAGTCCCAAATTATAAGTGTGGCGACGGTGCGTGAGCAAACACGAAACGATCGAGGAGAAATTATTCCTGCTGTTTGCCCTTCTTTTTTTTTTTTCACAACATCTGAATAACTTTCCCTTTCGACCATACAGGGAGAGAAGCTTCGTTCGCGTGCGCATAGCGGCAGAGAGCTGATCATACCGATCGTCCGCAAAACACTCGATTCGATAGACTGCGTTTATTTTCTTCCTTACCACGGCATCTTCGCGGCGAAAAGACTATATATTTACGTATATTGTGTACGCCGTTGGCCCCGTCATTTCCGGCTGTGCAGGTGCGCGCCCGTGGTATATACATAATATATAGATACACCGGCGCTGATGATGATCGTGTATATGGCGGGGTCAGGGCGCGCTCGCGCACGCGTGTAATTTAATTCGAAAATTTTCGCTCGCGTCACGATGAAGCAATTTCAAGGAGGCACACGAACGCGTAAGATACCAACTCCGGCGGCGGTTATCCTTGCGGCACACGTATGCAACGTGCTTGGGAAACGCGGATTTTTCGCGTCTGAAGCGATATCGAGTGGCGATGAACGCACTACAGTTTTAGTTTTTTTTTTTTTTTTTTTTTTTTTTTTTTTAATTCGCACACCGGAATTCGCCTCGAACCTGTATCACTTTCACCGCGTCGGATCCCAAATACGTCTTTGCTCCCTTTTGCACCCGCAAAAACCAAAAAACGAAGAAAAGCCGCGTCAGCGCGAAATCCTTTTCGTCCCTGGGGCAAGGAGAAAAAGAAAAATAGCAACCGCGCGTACGCAGACAGAAGAGAGAGGGTGAGGTAACACACCGCAAAAGCGCTAAAAGCGATAATACGTATCCGCGAATGACGGGAGTGCACGTGTATGAATATGTAGGGACAGCCGGGCCTCGGCGCGTAAAGCCCCCGGCAATTTTTACCCGCGGCGGCGTTTCTGTGTCACGCATCGATTTGCGCGAGAGCACCTCGCAAAGAGGAATTATACACGCTGAGACTCTGACCGCAGCCGTGTATGTGTGTAGCACCGAGGACGTGAAGGACGAGCTGATGCGCGCGGATCGGAAGGTTGGATGCGGTGCGTGCGTGAAGTGAGCGAAATGAAAAGAAAAAAAAAAAAAAACAAAAAAAAAAGGATAGTAGGAGGGGTTCGGGTGTATGGTGAGAACAGCGTGGCGGCTAAAGGCTGCTCGTTTGGCAACTGCGTGCAAGGGGGAAAGGAAGGGTTGAGGGAGCAGGCGAGGAAATAATCCGTCGCGTCAAGTGAAGATGCGAGTCTTGACGGGGAAGACGGACACGCAGGGAGTGATCTTGAGTGTGAATGTGTCGAGTTGTCGGGGCATCACGTTTTTTAAACCTCGTTTTATACTTGCATCAAGTCTGTATAAGTGGTAGCATTGGTGGTCTGTTTGAAAAAAAATTTTTTTTCTCCTTAGAGTTCCAAGCTCAATGTGATCCTTTATAAAGACGTTATTTCGTAAACATGATATGAATCAGCGCACAGAGTTGATGAGCGCTCTGATTATTGAAAATAGATAAACCAAAGAATATTTAACGAATCAGCGACGCGAGAAAAACCGGTGGTGCTGAATGACAAAAAATACGTGCATTCCTTATATAGAAATTTTTTTTTTTTTTTTTGTTATTTTTCACTTGTTTGATGTTACTGCACACACGCATAATGCCCATGAATTACTTTATTATTTATCACGGGTGCAAAAATAGGCGTTTAAATAAGCGTTCGCCGTACAGTGGTCCCCGATGTTGTGCGCGCGTGACTATGTAACAACAGTGGCGTTATTTAGCGTGCTGAAAGAGATGTGTTAATAAATTAAGCGCGCCAAAATAACCGAGCCGTAGATCAGCGTTTCAGCGACATACATCACACATCTCGCGTCGCACGTATACGCGTAACTGCTCTTCCGCTGCTAAATGTATTGCTTTTCCTCCTAGGCTCTGCAGCAAAAGAGGATAAAAATAAAGAATCATCAGACTTTGCCAACAAAGCGACGGTGGTGGACTCATTGTATAGATTGTACCTGTTTGTTCAACACCAGATCAAATGCAATATTACTTAACTTTTATTGTTTACATGACTTTTTTTTTTTTTTTTTTTTTTTTACAGTGGCAAAATGATTTCCTTTCAACCTATATAGTTAATTTGATAGTTGAATAGTTTCATTAGTTAGTATAAATCATATATACGAGGGATGCGAAATTCATATACGAGTCATTTTTCCGGGAAGGTAGAGTATGCATAAGTACCCATACCTAGTAGCAATCGGCCTTCTGGCTTTCGTCGATCGTCGCTCGATTGTATTACACGTGTACAATGTAAAACGTATGTCCGTATGTTATATACGTATATATGTATCCCTTGACAGCGATATTTCACGCCACAGGAGCGTCAGTATAGTATATGTAGTCGAAGAAGAAGGAGAAGACGAGAGAGGCGAAAGCCGACGAGTACGGGATGCCTGTATATATTTATGTATTACGCGAGAGACGGCCGTGTGTGGTCCGGCACGTCCGAGCGCATCGCTGATTAGCCCCAGGCTCGCGCGCCCGCGCATCCACACACGCACGGCATGATAATCCTCCCGTCCTGTTTGAGGGAAACTATACCTGCGCACGTGTACACGCGTGTATATGTAAGGGGGGTTGTGGCTCTGTTTGTGTGTAGTTGCTTATATACTTTGCATGTCCCTACAGGGCCTGGGGCTTACTCGGCACTTGCTGTTACTACTGACTCTCTCTTACATTTTGCACGCACTCTCATAGCTCTGAGTTTGCTCGCGACACAAGTATATCTGACACACTCGCAATAAACTTGTTTTCCTAATAAAGTGTTGTTACGTTGTTTTTTAACATTATAACGAGAAATTTTAAAAGATAAAAAAATCAAATTATATCTTTGTTAGTTACTTTGTTAGTGAGTAATGTTGTATAGCTATATTTTTGAGTTACGGGTTATTAACAATTATTTGAAATTTAGAAATCAAGCAGCAAGACTCCTTATATTTTTTCTTTTGTTCAAGGCACGTCATTTTTCTTCAAACCTTTTAACGAAGTTGGGTAAAAATAGCTCAAGTTTCACTTTTGTCGTTTGTTGTTTTGTTCACGTATTTATATATCAATATAAGAAAGTTGTTTTGACGAACTACATTAATTTAGGTTTCCTTTTTAAATGTGACTCATTTGGAGGATAACCAATGTTGTGGATACAAAAGAAAAAGTTATTTTGACGGAAACTTATACAGCCGATGAGTAATCTCACACGTAACTTTTAATCTGTGGTAATTTTTTATTGAAAAATTTTTACTTAAAAGCCCTCCTTTACGTATGCGGAATTTGCATCGTAAGCCCCGATCAGTTGCGAAAGCGTACGAAACAAAAATTATATAAAAATTTGATTGTCAAATACATACGACTGATTTTTTAATACAGTTTTCGTCTTTTTCACAATTCTTTATTTTTACCCCTTTATTCCTACACGAGTAGTTACATATACATATAGAAAGCTGCAGGAATACTTAAATTATATATACCTCAAGCGGAGTTGGTACGAGTAAGTGCACTTTCACGCGCCGGGCTTGCGTGAGTTTCCTCGGTCATTTTTTTTCTTTCTCCTTTCCATTTCGAATGGACGCAATAGTTGTTAATGCCGCGATACTATCTGGACGCCGATAAGCTCGAAGGAAAAAAAAAACTTGCACGATGTTGCGGTGCGATTTAGGGGTACTCCACCGTTATAAATACACCCGTGAGCTTTTGTGTGTACATGGGAAAGTTGAATTTCCGCTTGAATGATATGAAGTTGTTGTTGTTGCTTTTGAATGAACGCGAGAGTTGGTTTGCACACTCTGTGAGAGTAAACGCGGGTAATGGCTCTCTCTGATTGAAATTTATGTCCATAGGTCTGTGACGTTGATGAGCGATAAATAACTCTCGGAGAATTGAATGTTTTTTTGCATTGGAACGGTATTTCAAACGTATACTTAAAAACTCGTACTCCTTTTTGGTACATGAATATCAAATAAAAGTGGGGCTACTGACACCTCGAGATGATTTTAATTCTACACACGACTAGATTTAAATTAAGGTAAAAAACAATAAAATGGCTCACATCACAGTCCATCATTTGCTAACATGAATCCTCCCAGCGTTCCTTTCAAAAGCTCTCCTAAAACCACCCGGAAAAAAAAAGGGACAAAAGTTCTCAACCGCGCCATATGTACTTGTGCTTGCAGAGATCCCATGGAGCTGATGGAGCAGCAGCTCGTGAGGTGCGGCGTGCCACCGATCCGGCTGTACGAGCACTTGGCGATGACCTCGCCCACCGCCGCCCTCCAGCAGCACCACCACCACCACCACCACCACCAGCAGCAGCAACAACAGTCGCCACCACCGAGTTCGCAGTCTTGGCTGGCCCCCTCCGCGGCCCTCCTCTACGCCGCAGCGGCAGCTCGGGGAGCCGCGCCCCCACTGCCGCCACCCCCGCCAGCTCCCGGCGGCTACCCCTACCCCGACTCGGCGGCCGGGTGGCCCTGGCGACCGGCCCCGGTAGCTCTCATGGCACCCAGGCGCGCCTCCCCCCCGACCGCCGCTACGGCCGGGCTGAGGTTCGCCCCCTACCACCCCCCCACCTCCAGCGGCTCGACGACGCCGCCCGCGACGACGCAACAGCAGCTCATCGGCCGAGCCCAGCAGCCCAGGTCGACCAGCCCCAATTAGCGCTCGGCCGGGCGGACGGGCGCGTCTGCCGCTACTCCTGCCAATGCCGACTCAAGCGCCGACGACGACGACTGCTCGCGGCTCGATTGCGAGGAGTAGACGGAGAGGGGCTCTTGCGATTCGTCCCCTCCCCCTCCCCCCTCTCTCACTGAACAAATCGATCGACGAAACGCGCGCAAGTTTCGTATTGTCCCACGCGTGTAGACCCCTCGCGGGTGCGCTGTACTTTGAACCGATCGGGCAACTTTCACCGTCGCTGGAGCAAATTTTACCTCGATCCTGTATACGCACGTACAGTTGCAATGGACACAATCTTATTTATGCGTTATCGGTACTTGTTCGCTCGATTGTCCCGTGAAATTGTTGTTACATTTTATTTCCCCCTTGTAAATCAAAAAATATACCTACGATTCATCCATCTCGGATGCCGGCGAATAGATTGTTCACTGTTTGGAGGCGTGCAATTTTTTGCTTTCGTCATTCCCGCGCGGACGAGATAGTAATATGTACCCCCTCACACGGAGCCAAAGAAAGACATCCCCTCCCTTAGTTTCAAAGCAAATCGCCCATCTAGCTGTATTGGGTTGTACGGGTCGTGGCGTGTGTAGACGAAAAGGGAGAGGAACGAAAAAAAAGAAAAGGTGCGAATCATCGCGAGGCTGTTTGATAAAACGAAGAATAAAAAGGAACAGTCTCGCGGCTACTGTATTTATTGTTAATGCGCTGCTCGCGCGTTCGCCGGAAGCCAAAAGCAGCCTCGGCGCGAGTAATGTATACAGTCTCGAGTGCAATGCTGCGCATATAGGGGTTAAAGGCACTTGAATCGATGACTCGTGGAAAAGGCCGCCCGCGCTTATTACAAATATATATATATACCCTTTCGAAACCCGCGGGTGCGCGCGTAGCGCCTTTTCAGTGCCACTCGAGAAAGAGAGAAGGATCGGGCCCCCAATATGATGCGTTGGCCTCCTCTCAAAATATTAACTCTCGCGCGAGATCGAGAACTCGACAAACTAACTTTCGGTACAGTCTCTTTTTCTCCCCTATATACGCACTCGAGTTCGGGATGGTGTATACTTTTTCCATCCCCGAGTCCTCGGCTCTGTTTGTCGCTCGTACGGCTGCCGGCTCTACAAGTTAAAAAAAAAAAAAAAAAAACTTTTTTTTTGTTTTTGTTTCCTCTTCTCTTGGTTCTTATATTATCCATTTTCATTGTAAATAGCGCAAAGCCTCGTTTAAGTTGTGAATGTCGACGATCGATTGCTGTATAGTGTAGCCCTTTTTTCCCATCTTCGCCGTACGTATGTATAAGCGAGTGTGTGTATAGGTGCACTCAAACAATGTGTAACGTATGCGATTGAACGTGATAATAATAATAATAATAATGATAATGATAACTATTACAATATGACTAATGTACGATGTACGTGTTACAATTACAAAATAACTGGATTAATGTATCTGTCGATGTACTTAGCCTCCGAAATTTTTCGAGGGAATGGAAAAGAAGGGCAAGAGATGTGTCAGCGGGAAAGAAGTTGTGATAGCTGTACCATACCGTAATAGTATTATTCCGGCATTTCTCTTTCTCTCTCTCGTTTTGTTCCTAAAGTCGAGGTGAGAAATGTGTGCCGTGAGATTTGTATATATAAAAAAATAAAAAAATAAATAAATAATAACATTAATAAAGAATGAGAAAAAGATAAAATACAATAAGATAAAAATACTAAAATAGTTATTGTAATGATATTGAACAAAAAAAAATAATATCGTCCTACGAATTCGTGTAGATTTAAAAGAGAATGAATAAAAGAAGAAGAAAAAACGTAACTCTGCGTGTAGCGCCAGGGATACAGAATAATAAATGGATTTTCATCAATTAAATTTTTCGTCTATTGATTTGGAATTTTATTTTCCCCTCTGTTTTCCCTAAACATGAGCTACTTACTAATGTATAAATATACTGAAACGTATGGAATCCAATAACCTTGTACATTAAACTAAATATTTCCTAATTATTGATCCTTTCATTTGGAATCCTAATGTGGTTAATCCAAGAGTTGTATTAATAGTAGAGATAAAATACTCAAAATAATGCTTTTGATCATCAATGCTTTTATTTGATTGAATTTTAGTTATTTATAGGGCAGTCTTTTACCGCCCAAAATTTTTTTTGTACAAAACTCAAAGTACTTGATAACCTGTCGTAAAAATACTTAAATCACCGAAACAATGCAGCGTTTATCTTATTTACATTGAGATTAGCATTTGTAGTACAAAAATTAAAAGTAGCGGTAAATGAGACTGAGTAATTTTTGTGCAAATCAATTGGCATTAGTATTTTTTTTTTTTTTCTTTTTTTTTTTGTAACGGAAGCCAATACTTCCTTATTTCCATGTATGTCCACAAAACTGTGCAATAAAATTCACCAACTCGACCGTGACCTAAGGAAAGAGAAGCAGAAGGATGAGGAGGAGATGAAGAAGAAGAACAAAAGACAAAACAATAAACTCGAGCAATACGATGAACGAATACAGGGAACAGCAAAACGGACCATGAAAAATCCTTAATTACCCCCCTAATACCCTTTTGCTGTTGGCCGTATCCTTGAGAATACATGATAAAAAAAAAAAAAAAAAAAAAAAAAACAGCCAACAGCCGTGTAATTCTGTTACCAGTCCCGGCAAATCTCCCCAAAATAAAATAAATTAATTTCACACCTTGTCAGCGAGCAATTATTTTCAGGGGCGAGCGAGCATTTTGTAGCAAAAAAAAAAAAAAAGAAGAAAAGAAAAAGACTTCCGTGACCCTCTTTCGATCCTCTCCGTGCTGGCCGTGGGTGCCGAAACTACTGCCCGCGCGCAGAAGCATATACGTATACGTACACACGCATACCTATACATTTGTGCCAAAGGCCGCGAGCAAAATTGAACGATCGCCTTTCCTCTCCTCCCCCACCCCCTCATCTTCATCCTTCTCGGTTTCACACACATGCGCCTCAGCGTGGCGGTGCACCTACCGCACATCAAGGCTTCAATTTCCCAGCCGCGCTTACCCCCTCCTCGGCTCGCTCTGCGTATTCCCGCACAACCCCATACACACCGATGGGTCATTAGCGAACGCACATGATTTTACGCGTGTGCGACGACGTGCCACATAATATATACGCTTGAGACAGAGAGAAAACGCTGCACGAGAAAACGAGTCACGTCTTGTACGGGACGTCAACGTCAGGATTATTACAACACACGTGTGATGGAGAAAATGAGAGAGGATAATTTTTTTCCGTTTTTTTCCCTCGATCAATGCGCCTCTTGGACATTGATTTTAGCGCGGCGACCGTCTCAGGTGGGTCGTTTCGACAGAGCCTCCTCCTCCACCGCTCTCTCCGCTAAATGAAACTTTTAAGTATAGGTACACACGGGCGTCTCTTCGGACGCGCTTGAGAGTGTGTGTATATATATTGTTACGTGTGTCCGCGAGCGTGGCAATAAAAATTTTAACGGACTCGCTCGGGTGGGTGAAAAATAAATGGCCGTTCGCTTGATATTAATCGTCGCTACTGGGCACTCCGCTGATGAGCTATTTAGCGCGTTGAAACTCATGTAGGATCCATTTAGCGATTGAAAAATCCACGCGCATCAAAGCGCGGTTCAACCCGTGCGCGTTTCTCTTTTTGTTTGTATAATTTATCGTCAGATTCGGTCGATGGTACGTGTCGGAGACACGAAGTTTGAGTGGTATTAAGAATAGAAAAAGTGACATGTTTATCCCTCCCTGCGTCCGATTGAATCCGCGATGCGCGGGCAGGTTACAGGAAGCATCGTTTCGGCGGATGTGTATATGATGCGTGGAACGGGAGGAAAAAAAAATTAAATCGGCGCGAAATCGGTAAGCTGAGAGTATAACAAAAACAAAGAGAGACAACGAAGAAGGAGGAGACAGCGGAGTTTGAGGTGCTCGAGGGGCACGAAAATGAAATAAAAAATAATATTGAAAGGAGAAGTGTGTAGATGACGAGGACGGCGTTAATCTTGGGCTGCGCTGGGGACCCGAGGGCCTGCTCTTTTCGTAATTTTTGGAGCTACGCCACCTTCGTCGCGAGCGTCTACGCCCGATTCTTGAGCGAACCATTATTACCTTTTTGATTTAAAACAAAAATAAATGGAGCAGCTTCGATCATTAAAAAATCCAGATATTACTTCGAACGGGGAGACAAAATAAACTTGGACGAATAAGAGACATTGTAGCTACAAAATAACCCATGGGGGGAGGGATGAGGACGGTAAAAGGTGTCTGTACAGGGATCTGATTCACTCTCTGACTGTCACGTTGCAGTTTTATACATGGGTACATGTTATAGGTATGTAATTTTTTTTTCTTCCAAAGGCCAATAAAACAGCTCATGCTACATACGTATGAATACGTTCATTCCCGTCACGGTCAATTTCGAACGATGTTACGCACATCAAAGGAGCGAATCAAGCCCTAAAACAACTTTTAGAGGAGAAAGGAAGGAAAAAAAACAACGAATTAACTTGTGCGTATGTGGAGTTTTGCATGGAGTACCAGAGCATTGTAATGACAATGATGACAAAAAAAAATAGAGTCCAACAGTTTAGGGTATTGAAGTGCTCTAACCATAAGCTTAGAAATAAGTATTGAAAAAATCATTTTGTTAAGTACTTGAGCAAAGAACGAGTGGCAGAGAGGGTTAATACTGATTGAAAAAAAAAAAAAAAAAAAAAAAACTTAATCAAATGCTTAACAAAAAACTTCCCCTTAAATATATGCATACACACACGTGACATAAAACTCATGGAAATTGAATAGCAACGCGGGACCTCAGAACTGTCAAATTTGCCGGAATAAATTAAGTACATCACTCCACCGGGAGATCATAAGACGGAAGAAATTCGCACTTGAAACAAAAGCATCCGATGAAGCCACACACGCATCTTTCAGAGAGGGAAGTATAGGTGTATATACCTGCATAAGAGAGAGAGAGAGGGGCCCATATATATTACATACATGAAAGAGCGAGCGCGGCACGGTTCAAAGAGCCGACGAATTACATCGGGTGCATCATCGCATCACACACTCTCCCAGACTCTTTTGCGAGACCCAATGGGTACACACGTATATACATGTGTGTAAGGGATGGGGAATTCGATTCCCGAATGTAACCACGTAGACGCGCCTTTTACGAATATTACGTGTATATGGAACGTGCAGCGCAAGGTGTATCATCACGTAAGAGAAACTAAAAAAAAAA